GATCAAGATGACCAGCATCTTCGAGAAATCCCGCTCCATTGAGCTGGTCTTGGGGGTGCAGCACGGTGACTCGGACACATTTGTATGCTTGGAGTAGGCGGAGGGCGGTCTTACCAGCAGCACGAGGTGGCCGAAGGCAGAGAGCGAGCCAACGAGAGAGCGCGAGGTGGCGGAAGAGTCTGCTCGCTGCAAGGAGGTTTGCGACAGAGACCGCGTTAGCACCCAGGCAGCGATCTCCCTCCTTCCTCAAGAGGCTCCATTCCCTGTGGGACCTTTACCCTGAGCAAAGATGCCAACACATGTTTCTTTGTTTGAAAGCTGCCTCTAAATACGCTGAGCCAAGACAGAACGGGGGCTGGATGCGCCGGCCATTCACTGTCTTGGGACATGACCATAGTGGGGTGGGAAGAAGGTGCATAGCTTACACCAGGCTGCAGAGAGGCAGGCGGTAGGTGAGGAACCTCTGCTGCTGTGGTGGGTTAACCTTGGCTGGTTGCACTGGAACAGGCTTCCCAGGGAAGTGATGGAGTCACCATCCCTGCATGTGTTCAAACACTGTGCAGACATGGCACTTCAGGACATGCTTTAGTAGGCATGATGGTGAAGGGTTGATGGTTGGTCTTGATGGTGTTAGAGGTCTTTTCCAACCTTAATGATTCCAGGAGGAAGAGGGGGAAGACCCATTACATATGGACAGGATTCTGGATGAGTAAACATCGTGGTCCCTGCTGCACAAGCTAAGAGTATGCCCGGTGGTGGAAGAGATGGTCAATGACCTTCTCCTTGCCTGCCAAATCTTCTCCAGCAATGACTTCATGCTACAAGCAAGCTAATGGTTCTGCCCTCCACAAGCTTCTGCAAGCCTCCACACGCACTGCAGTGAGAGCAATGCCCCGACCTGCAGGGTCTATCCGTTACCCCTTCCCCCAGCTCATGGCACTGGGAAGGTGTTGCACTGTGCCTTATGCCCTGGTGCCCTGCTCACAGGCCTGCCCAGCTGCTGAGAGAGAACAGCAATAGGGTGACACAGGTGCCTTAATGCACGCTTGGCTCACACAAGCCAGGTGAAGGTAAAGCGTCAGTTGCAGCGCTTCAGACTGTGAAACAAGCACCACATTCACATGTGTTTGTAGAAGCCAGGGTGAAATTTTAGTATTTGATGAGAAACCTTTGTATGTTCATGCTTTAATACAGTCTGGCACATAATTAGAAATGACTCATGGATAATCTTGATCATGGAGCTCTCTGAAATTAGATGATAATTTAGCCTGGAATTCCTGCAGAAAGAACGAAGGAAAAGACAATTATAATTATTCTAATCAAGATATCTTTTTCTTTGCCTGGGGTGTTGCTTTGTGAACTGCCAGAGGCCTGAAATTATTTAGACCATTTCTGCCGCTCACTGTTTCCCAGGCAAACACTACTGATCACTGCGTAGCTTCATCACCGTGAAATTCCTGTAAGTGCTACTGACAGAGAGGAGAAGATGAAAGGCGCGAGGATAGAACTGCAGAGCTGCGTGCTGCTGGGGCGTGAGCAGAGCAGCCACCAAAGAAGGGATGGGTCTGGGAGCTTTCTCCAAACCCCTGGGGCTTCCCACCAGGAGGGATCGAATCCTGTGCAGCAGCAAAAGGATGTTTGGTAACATCCACCACCAATTCCCACACAATGGATAGAGGCGTTGCAGCTGGCAGAAAGGTGGCTTGGGTGCTCCCATTTGCATCACTGGATTTTGTGCCTCTTCCCTTCCTTGGCTTTGATGCCAGTTTAGGTGCTTCCAGTCAAGTGCTGGGCTGCAGGGAGCTGGGCTGCGGGGCCAGTGCCACCTCACACAACAGAGATCACGTCCTTGTCCTCACTACCAGAGCTGGTGCCTGCAGCCCATTTACAGAAGGGATGTCTGGCCCAGGGGATGTTGAGCAATGGAGAGGTCACCATGAGGTATGGACCAAAGGGGAAA